CAGGAGAGAAAGGACAGAGGCGGGCCAGCAGCAGCAGCAGGGGGGGATGTAGTCCCGAACAGTCCGCCTGCCAAACGGGGGTCCGCGCGGACCCCTTTCGGGTCGACGCTAGACCCCCCTGGTTGCGCGCCGCGATGCCGGTGAAATGGGGGGAGGAGGAAGAAGGACAGCGGCAGCCAGAACGCAGAAAAAAAACAAGCAGGTGCGGCCGGCCGAAGGAGAGGGGGAGGAGAGGGGGCGTCGAGTCACGTCGGCGGGGGCGGAGGGCGGAGGCCACCGCGGCGGGGTCCGGGGGGCGGGAGGCGACGGCCGCTATCGTCGTCATCGTAGCGGTCGTCGGCGGTGGGGGGCGGAGGGCGGCGGAGCGCGGGGGGCGGGGAGCAGCAGCCGCGCAGACGTCGCCGTCGTCGGCGTCGCGGTCCCTGCGCTGTTGTCGGCGCTGGCGGTGCCGCGGGCAGTGAGACCCTGCTAGCGCCTTCCCGCCAGCGTCGGCTCAGGAGAGTCGGGGCGTTCCTGGTAGAGCCTCAGCGCCCGACGGCCGCCAAGATAGTCTCGGCGTTGCCGAGATGCAGCCGGGTGCTGAGCTGCTGCCACCCATAGCGGGTGACCTCTGTCCGCTCCGCAGGGGCCATGTCGTGACCCCAGGAGCGGACATGTGCCACGCGACGCGGTGGCGTCTCCCGGGCGGCCTCCTGTTTCGAAGATCGCCGGGGTGAGCTGGCCCCCCTCGGGCGGGTAGCGCTCCCGCTCGGCGTCCTCCGCGTTGGTGGCGGCGAGGCCGTCCTTGTTCGAGCGAGCCTGCTGGCGCGGCGCGGTGCCGCTGTGCGCGCAAGTCACGCTCGTGTCCAAGAGCGCTGTCTGGCCGGCCACCGCGTCGCAGGTGGCGACGTCGAGCCGTGCCTCTTCGAGGCGCCCTGTCCGCGGGTTCACCCTGCCCCAAGCAACAACTCGTTGCTCCGTCTGCGCTGCGCGCCCCGTGGTCCGCTGGTGGTAGCTGGCGCAGAAGTCCCGGAGGCCGTTGTGCTTGTTGTTGCGGCAAGTGCCGCGCGGGCACTTCAGGGCGTGGCGCGTCGGTCGAGCGCCTCCCCGCGCAGCGCTCCGTCGGCCTTGCGGGGTTTGCAGGTCGCGCCGCCGGGCACGCAGGCAGGTGCAGCTTGTCCTTGAGGGTAATGCGGAAATCTTCGCCTGGCATTTTAGCGGGCGTCTCTCCCTCGCGGACGACGGGCGGCCCCAAGTACCCTCCTGCGCTGGGGCCGCCTGGCGAGCGGGGGCCCGCCCTGTCGTCTGCCCCAAGGGGGGCCAGCAGCCGCTCGCGTTCCTGGCCGCGGAGGTCGCCCGCCCACTTCCCTTGCATCCCCTGGAGTGGTTCGCCCACGCAGCCGGTCCAGTCGATCGCCTCGAGAGCCCCCCCGCTCTGCGCCTGGGGCCGAGTCTCCGCCCTCGCTATGGCATCGGCCACCGGGGGGCAGCGCCCCTTGAACAGCGCCCAGGAGGGCTCGTCCAGGCAAGCGCCCACGCTGCCGAGGGTGAGCGCCCAGCGCCCCAGGTAGGCGGCGGCCGCCGCCTGCGCGGCCGAGGCGAGCCCGAGGCCCCCGTCGGCCAAACGGAGGGATCATTGCGCCCGCCGGTCTTCGTCGAGGGCGTCGCCCAGAAAGTCCCCCACAGACTGCGCGAAGGTTCTGTCGAGCCTGGCAAGCCAGCCCCCGTCCTCGTAGTTTGCGCGGAGCAGGTGCGCGACGCAACCGTTGCTGTAGGTTTGAAGCAGCCAGAAACACTACCTCGCCCCGAGTCCGGCACCCCGGAGTTCGTTCCTGGAGTCGGGTGATCAATCGCTCTGCGGCCCGCACTGCCTCGTCGCCGTCGGCCTGCCCGTGAACAGCGAGCCGCCCCAGCGGGTCGCCCGGCTCCACCCAGGACGCGGTGGCCCCCAGACCGCGGAGAGTTGGCACCCGCAGCGCTTCGAGCTGGGGCGAAGGTTGCGTCGTTGGGTCGCGGGTCCACGCCGCGTTTTTGCCTTCGTTGATGGCGGGTCCTGCTCGCGTGAGTTCCTCGACCGCTGTCTGCGCCGCTGCCCCCCCCAAGCGCCGTAGGAACCACCGCCACCACATCATCTAAGTAGGAGAACGCCCGAGCAGTCGGCGCCGCGGCCCGCAGGCGAGCGTCGATGTTGGATAACGCCTTCGCCAGCCCCAAGGCGAAGTAGGCGGGCGAGAGCGGGTAGCCCTGGTCGACCCCTTTCGCGGCTGGCACTGCTTGGGCCGAGCCGCTCGCCCCCCGCCAAAGGCGCGTGGTACCTGTGCCCAGCCGCGCGGCCGCCGCCTGGCACAGTTCGGGCAACCGCGCCGCGACTCCTGCGAAGATCTTCTCGCGCGCCATTGTGGTGAACGCGTTTGTGCCGTCGAGCGCTAAAACCAGTTTACCGGGCGAGTCTGCCGTCAGTGCCGCCACGGCCTTATGGACCTTTTCGCACCCAGCCTGTCGTCCCACAGCGGACTGGCGCGGCCCGCATGCCTGCGTGAGCTGCTCTCGAAACGCGTGGCACGCAGCCCTGGCAGCAATGCGCCGCAGCACAGACCCGCGCGCCACGGGTCGGGCCTTACCGTTGGGCTTTCGCAAGGCCACTAGGCGAGCCCCCAAGTTCGCCTTGAAAAAATCAGCCGGGCAGTCTCCGAGCAGAAACGCGACCGCCACGTGGCTGACGTGGTCGGCCGCTTCGCTGTCGGCCGCGGCAGTGGCCCAATGCTCAAACCGGGAGCCGTTGGGGCCCGGCCCCGAGCGCGCCGGGTAACGCTTCAGATTGCGGCGCACGGCGTCCACCAGGTCTGCTCGCGTCCCCGGTGACACTGGAAGGGGGGGCGGGCAGCCCCTCCGGCAGAGCGCCCTGCGGGAACAGGTCCGTGAAGGCGGCGTGCACGTCTGGGCCAAGCAGCACCGCGCTCTGGCGAAGCACCACAGCCAGCGCCTTGCTCACCCAGCCGCCCCGCACTGACGAGCTGACTGCGCGGGCGTCCTCTGCGGGGGTGCTGCCCCGGGCTGTTTTGCGTGGGTCGTCCCGCGTGGTTGCCGCCGCTGCTCGCCAGAGACTGCCCCCTTCCAGGCGAGCCGGAGCCGCGCTGTGATCGTGGGGGACAGCGACCCCTTATGCTTCCGGCCTCCCCTCGTGGCCTGCGGGGCTGTCAGCACCAATCGGTCCATGAAGGTGAGGACTTTGCAGACTCTGCTCTCCGCCGCGGCGTCGCCCGCTTTTTGAACACGGCAGATTTCCCGGCACACCGTTCCCCAGAAAATCGCAAGGCCGTGGTGCACATCGCGGGGTGTGCGCCCCAGTGTCGGGACCCAGTTCTCCAGTTCGTCGTGCCCCACCGTGTCTCACCAAGCCATGTTTCGGAGCTCCTCTTGCCTGCACCCGGTGTCGTGGATCGTTGGGTTCTGGTCCTCTGGTAGCTCGTCGAAGTACTCGTTGGCCTCCCCCGCGGGCAGGTTGGCATCTCCTGGGTCCGCGGCCCGTCGCCGTTGCCGTTTGGCCTGTCGAACTGTCTCAACGTATTCCGCTCTCGAAACCCCGCCCGGGTGATCACAGAACTCCTGGGCCTTGGTTTGGTCCTCTGGCTGGAGGCCGGCGAAGCCATCGAGGTTTGCCTGAGGACCCAGGCCGCCTTCGACGCAGCCGGCGTGGTACCGCCGCGGATTCGCCATGCTGGCGGCGCTGCGGACTCGCAAATCGCCACTGGAAATGGGCCCCCCTGCGTGAGGAGGCGAAACATGTGCAAGAAACCCAGGTGCGCTTGGCATCAATGAGCCATGTTGTGACGTTGGACCCTTGGGCGGCCGGGTAGGCAGGCCAAGCCCACCCAGCCGCCCCCGGGATCCCAAGCTCTGCCAATCCTCCAGAAGCTCCTGCGTAGACCACGAGAAGGCTCCACAGCCTGCACTCCCACAGTGGCTGGTGGACCCCGGTGGCCCATGCGAAAAAAAACCCTGCTCCAACTGCTGTTCGCCACACGCTACGGTGGTCCACGACAGCCTGCCATGCCATGGCTGGCACCAGGAAGCCCCAGGTCAGGCCACACGTTCCCCAGCCCCCGAAACCCCCCCACATCAGGGCTGAAGCACCCGCGACCCGAATCCACACTGCTGGGTGGGAGATCGCACTCAGCGCCACAAGCTTGGTCGGCAAACCGCCTCCACGCCAAAGAAGATCTTATCCAGGCACGCGTCCGCCCAGGCAGGCGCCTGGGGCCCGGGACGCGCCGAGTCTCGACGGCGCTGCCCCCGACCCTTCTCCCCGGCCACTTGCGCTGAGGGCGCGACTGCGGAGGTGATGTAAGTAGAACAGTTCCCTAGAAGACGTGAAGACTCCGGCTGGGCTGTCGGGGCGGCACCTCGCGCGCGCCACGGTCGCATGGAAACCGTGCTGCCGGCCGCCGATGGGCGCCGTGCCGCGCACCGCGGATGCGAAAGGCGGCGGGTTCGTAGCGGCCGCACTGCTCGCCGCCGTGCCGAACGTAGAGGTGCTGCTGGGGCCCCTCGAGGATGTCGACATCAAAAGGCTGCTGCGCTCTGCCGTGCTCGTCCCAGTTGTGCTGCTGCTGGAGGTAATGCTGGGGCCCCTCCCGGATGTAGGCATCAAAAGGCTACTGCTCTCTGTCGTGCTCGTCCCAGTCGTGCTGCTCCCAGAGGTGCTGCTGGGGCCCCTCGCGAATGTCGACATCAATGGGCTGCTGTTGTCTGCCGTGCTCGTCCCAGTCGTCCTGCTCCTGGAGGTGCTGCTGGGGCCACTCGCGGATGTCAACATCAAAGGGCTGCTGCTCTCTCCCGTGCTCGTCCCAGTCGTGCTGCTCCCGGAGGTTCTGCTGGGGCCTCCCCTCGCGGATGTCGGCATCAAAGGGCTGCTACTCTCTGCCGTGCTGCTGGGGCCCCTCGCGGAAGTCGACATCGGCGGAAGTCGGCCCGGTCGAGCTGCCTCTGGAGGTGCTGCTGGGGCCCCTCGCGAATGTTGACATCAACGGCCTGCTGCTCTCTGCCATGCTCGTCCTGGTCGTGCTGCTCCTGGAGCTGCTGCTGGGGCCCCTCGCGGATGTCAACATCAAAAGGCTGCTGCTCTCTGCCTTGCTCCTCCCGGTCGTGCTCCCAGAGGTGCTGCTACGGCCACTCGCGGATGTCAACATCAACGGCCTGCTGCTCTCTCCCGTGCTCGTCCCAATCGTCCTGCTCCCGGAGGTGCTGCTGGGGCCCCTCGCGGATGTCAACATCAAAAGGCTGCTGCTCTCTCCCGTGCTCGTCCCAGTCGTGCTGCTCCCGGAGGTGCTGCTGGGGCCTCCCCTCGGGGATGTCGGCATCAAAGGGCTGCTACTCTCTGCCGTGATGCTGGGGCCCCTCGCGGAAGTCGACATCGAAGGGCTGTTACGCTGTGCTGTGCTCGGCCCGGTCGAGCTGCCTCTGGAGGTGCTGCTGGTCCCCCTCGCGTATGTTGACATCAAAGGACTGCTGCTCTCTGCCATACTCGTCCTGGTCGTGCTGCTCCTGGAGCTGCTGCTGGGGCCCCTCGCGGATGTCAACATCAAAAGGCTGCTGCTCTGCCGTGCTCGTCCTGGTCGTGCTGCTCCCGGAGGTGCTGCTGGGGCCTCCCCTCGCGGATGTCAACATCAACATCAAAAGGCTGCTGCTCCCTGCTCCGTGCTACCGTGCTCATTTTGTGCCACCGTGCTCCTCCGTGCTCATCCGTGCTCCTCCTCCTCCTCCTCCTCCTCCTCCTCCTCCTCCTCCTCCTCCTCCTCCCCTTCCCCCTCCCCCTCCTCCTCCTCCTCCTCCTCCTCCTCCTCCCCCTCCTCCTGCGCCGCCTGCCGCCTCCTCCTGCCGCCTCCTCCTGCCGTGTCTTCCTGCCGTTTCCTCCTGCCGCCTTCTCCTGCCGCCTCTTCATGCCTCCCGTCCTCCTCCTCTGTCTCCTCCTCTGTCTCCTTCTCTGCCTCCTCCTCCTCCTCCTCCGTCCTCCTCTTCTCTTGCCTCCTCCTGAGCCCATCCCCCCTGACGTTGCCTCTGATGTCGTGGTCGACCGACGGCGTCGACGACGGCGGCGGTTGGTGCCGACGACGGCGGCGGCCAGCGGCGACCTGGCACGCCTCGGGCCGCGCGGCACGGGCAGGACGGCGGACACCGCGCGGCCGCCGCCGCGGGACTGCTGGGGACGGCGACGCCGGCCGGCGGACTTTTGGCGGGGGGAGCTGTCATACCTCCGTCCAGGCTCCCTCCCTCGTCCCTCTCGCCTCGTCCCTCGTCCCTCTCTCCTCGTCCCTCCCTCCTCTTCCTCGTCCCTCCCTCGTCCCTATATCCTCGTCCCTGCTCATCCCCCCCTCGTCCCTCGTCTGGTCCGTCATAGTGCCTCCCTCCTCCCTCGTTTCGTTTCGTTCGAGGTGGTGCCGCAGCCCTGCACGCCGAGGCGCGTGCCCACGGCGTCCGGATTGCCCGCTCTCTTGGGCCGTCATGGGAACTGACTGGAACGCCCTCAGGCTTTTCTAGGGCTTTCTGGGGACCGTACCACCTGGGACGCATGTCGGGGCACTCCGAAGCCATGTCGCGCGCTACCAGATTTAGGTGGGGACGAACCAAGAGTCGTCTGGGAACCGAAGACGGCGTCGCCACCCGACCGGAACCGCCGAGGCAACGCCGTTCACCGCCGGGCCTGAAGAAACAGGCTGCCCGTCTCGAGCGCTCGTGCTTTACCTGCACTGAGGCGAAAAGACCGCCACGGGAGAGCGCCAATCCGCTGGGGATGGGTGGGGCGTTTCTTCTGCCACGTCCCGTCGGACTGTGAGCGTGTCGCCCGGGTCCCCCCGCTATGACTGGGCACATTCGCGGGACCCGCTCTGCGAATTGGCCTCAACGCGTGCGCGTCGACATCGGTTGCGTCACGCCTCCTCCACGACCACACTGAGAGGCCCGCCCCCCACCTCATCTCAACGAACATTCACGACGCCTCGCCCCCAAGAGGCCCCATGTGGACCTCAAGAGGCCAACGAGACTCCCCAAGAGGCTTCGATACGGTCCCGTGGAAGCTTCAAAACTGCGTCCACGAGGCACCCGAAAGACTTCCCACGAGATCCCAACGAACATCGAACTAGCGCGCGCGAAGCCCGTTTGGTCGCATTCTCTGAAATTGATGAACAAATCGCAAGAACGCGCGCGCACGTTTGTTTTGAAAATCCGTGTTGCGAAACCACGTGTGTTGTATACGTGTTTGGACATTGGATTTCGAAATCATTCCGGTACCGACGGTGTTTTCAAGGAGCCCGGCACGCGCGCGCGGCGAAACGCGCGTGTGCACTTCGTCCCATATGTTGCAACATATTCTTGAAAACGTATGATTTTCTATAAACGAATGCGCGCAAAAAATATGTGTTGCAAAGGATGGCGGGGGGGTCGAAACCGGCTCGGCTGGGATGGGGCAAAACCGCATGAAAAGTGCAACGCGAAAAAGTGCGCCTATAAAGCCTAAGTCTATTATATCTTTGAAAAAGAGAATTGATCTTGACAAACGAGTGGACACATCCCATGCCCATGCAAACATCCCGCCCGCCCGCCCGCAACTTGGTTTGCAAAACCCACGCGGTGGCGATTGCGATGCATGCTTGGCGATGGCTGGTGCATTTCTGCGGCCGCGCCACCCCTAGCACGCGAGCGCAGCGGTCAACTAGTTTGGCGCCGCCGACGCGGCCGCAGTGGCGCTGGCCGCCGGTCGCGTCCCAGCGGGCACTTCACTGCGAGTCGGCGACGTGGGCGGGCGCGGCGTCGTGGCATCGTGGCAACGCCGACTACTGTAGACGCGATGATGATAGAAACCATGATGGTGGCAATGTTCGCACCGACGAGGGCGCGGCCAGTGCGGGCGCCGATGCTGATCACGCCGACGACGATGACGGCGCCCTCGCGTCGGTGATGATAGTATCGAAAAGAGTTCGACATGTGCGCGCGGCCGACGCGCGAGAGTTGCCCGCGCGGCATCATGCGGCGCGGATCGCGCCCCCCCAACGCGCGCACGGGCCCGCGATTGATGTCGGCATGCGGCGCCAGAGGCCCATTTGGCATAATCCCACGAATATGTTGAAAACCCTATGGTTTCCTCAAGAATTCGCGCGGGCGTGCGCGCAAGTTTTTTGGGGAAAACGGACGTTGCGAATTCGTGTGTTCTTGTGTGTTGTTTGGGCATTCGGTGTTGACGCCGCTGCGCAACCGAAGGTTTTTGAAGAATTAAAGCATGCGCGCGCGACGCCGCGCGCGCGCACTTCGCTGCATGTTGCGCATGGGATTCTCGCGACGGCACGCGCGCGAGGGCGTTCTAGCGATTTCGACATGCGCGCGCGAAGCCCGCTTGGTGGCATTTCTGGAAACAGTTGAAAAACTGCGCGGGTACGAAACTCGCGGGAGCGAGCGCAGATGGGAGGAAGGCAGAGGGGCGCTCTTCTCCTCCGCGCTCGGATGCTTGAACCAAGCGGTTTCGGTATCGCAAGCGCTGGCACTGCTGATACGGATGCGGCGGGGACCGACTTGTGGTGTGAGCTGTGTCCCGGATTGTGCCCGCATGCTGCTACGCTACGCTACGCGCAGACTTACATCAGGCTCGCTACCAACACTTCCCTAAGCTATGTGCGGCGCGGGACAATCGCCGAGCACTGCCTTCTCTCACTACACTAGAATGAGTCCCGGGCGCGGGGAACCTCCCGTCAGCCCAGACCGCGGTCTCGCAAGGCCTCATCGGCTGGAGCAGCAGCGCGCCGCCTCCGCCGGCTCACCGCGCCTTCTGGTGCAAGACCTCCGAAGGCTCATCCATCGCAACGCGATGAGGTCTCCTGCAGCCTCATCTCTGGGCTGCGTTCTGGCCGCCTCCCCGAGGCAGATCCGCCGTCGCGGCCTGGGGCCGCAGACGCGGGCGCTGTCGCGGGGCGTCCGCTGACCAGCGGCCCAGGCGCGGGGCTAACCGCAGCCTGGGCAACGGCCGCCTCAGCCATGGCTGTTTCAAGGCGGCGGCAGGGCCTCAGGCCCACTGTCACGAAGTGGACGCATAAATGCACGGCGCCTGTCACCGCGCCCCCTGCGTCTCAGGCGTCGCTGCCAGATCCGCCGGCGCCGCCGAGAATCGCCGGCAGGTGGGCTTCGCCGGCGGGGGCCTCTTCGCGAGCTCCTGGCGCCTCTTCGGCTCGAGAGCCTTCGCCCCCAGGTCGGCGACGTTGGTCTCGCCGGGGATCTTCTTCAAGGTGATCTGGTTTTCCTGGGCGGCGTCTTGGACCCAAAGCCATCGCGCCGCGATATGGTGGGTCTTCCCCGCGCCGCTCCTCGAGCTGTTGCCGATGGCGACGCTGGCGGCGCTGCCGACTGTCACCGACCGCGCCGTTGCGGCGCCGCGCATGTCCGCGATATTCTTGAAGAGGCTCTGTGTCATAATGCCTCTGGCCGCGCCAACGACGGTGCCGCAAAACTCGGCCTCCGCGCTGGAGAGGGCGCGGGCCTGGTCCGCCACGACCCAGGACTCGATCAAATGCGAGCCGACAATCTCGCAACCCGCATGGGTCGAATAACAATCCGGCTCCTCCGCCCAATTGCTGTCGACTGGGATCCAGGAGCCGCCTGCCTCCGGCACGTGCTTGAAGAAGAGCGCCAGGAAGGGGCATCCTTTGAGGTGCCGCGCGCAGCGGACGAGGCGTAGACATATGCTCGCCAAGCTCCTTGGCCGAGTACTGGATGTCGAAGCGGCCGGGCGACGCGTAGAGCGCGCGACCAGTGTCGCTGCGATGCTTGGTCTGCGCCTCGCCGTCGAGCTCGTCCGGATCGCCCCTGCCGATGTGCTTGCTGCATGGGCCCCCCTGGGGCTTCGCCTTGAGCTTGCCCGTGCTCTCCAACAACATCATTGCGCGCTTTGGGTCCTCGTTCCACTCGCAACCAAGCCCAAGCAGGTAGCATTTGCAATGTTTAAAGGAACGGCCCATTAAAGTACAGCCCGGCCCGACGCGAGGGAGAACCTTGATGTTGAAAAGCAAGCTGATCATGGCGCCAAGGTGTTCGATGCCTTTGCTCTCCGCCTCGGCGATGATGTCGTCGCCCCACAGACTAGCCAAGGAGTCGTGCTGCTTCGCGTAGAAGATCTGGCGGCTGGTCTTCAATGCCTGGTAGCCGCGCTGGTCGAATACCTTCGCCATAAACTCGAGGAACAACTGGGGCGCGCGGCGTGTCCCATGCATGGCCTTCAGCATCTGCCACGCCATCCCTGAGTCCTCCTCGCCTCTAGGTGGGATGACCGTGATCGGCTCGTCTAGCGGCAGGTCGGCGTGCCAAAATGCCGCCGCGATGTCGTAGAGCCCCAGCACCCTGGTCCAGTCGTTGGAATCATGGCGTCTTATCGAGGCAGCCCGCGAGACGATCAACTTGATGAACTTGAGCGGGGGCGTCGCCGTGTGCGTGTCCAAACGATCGCGCATGTTGAACTCCCTGGCCGCGCAACGTGAACGCGCGGCGGCCTCGCCGTCCTGCGCGCTTCTCGTCGAGCCATATGCTGCGCACCTCCTTGCCCCTGGCGTTCTTCGTCGGCGCGCGCTCGAAGAGGCGCCTATCCATCGTGTTCTGGCGCTCCCGTGCGCGGCCTGCGCGCGCAAGCTCGGGGTCGAGCACCTCGCCGGTCTTGTGGTCCTCGACGTCCTGCGCGTCGATATCTGGCGTCGCCACGTAGGCCGCCGGCGTCGCGATGCCCCTGGCCCCCGCGTGGGGCGGCTGGCCACAAACGCGCAGAACGCCGATCGCGCGCCTCCTCGAAGATGCGGGGCCGCTGACATCAGCGCCGCCCCTCTCGAAGAGCTCGACCTTCTCCTGGAAGCTCAGGCCCCCCCCCCTCGCGGTTCGCCGCGACACTCCCAGCCTCCATCTCCGCCTCCACGACGGGGCCGCGGGTTGCCGGTGCCAGCCCTGGTGGAGAGGCAGGGGCCGCATCCTCGACAGGAGCTGCCATCTCAGCGTCGGGGGCGGCTCCAGCGGGCGCCGGGAGCCCTGGGGGAGCTTCGACTTGAGGTCTGGGTGCCGCCGGCCGCGGCGCCTCCACGAAGGCCGCCGGAGCTGCGGCACTACTGCTCGCTAGTGCCTCATCCTCCTTCCCCCAGGCTGTCAAGAAGCGAGCCTTGCATGCGTCGCCGTGCCCCGTCGCGCACCCGGCGCAGCCGGGGCATTCTGGGGCGAGGCCATACTTGTCGAGGTAGGCCTTCGCGATGCAGCGCGACGGCCGGGGCGCCGGGGTCTTGGCGCCCAGGCGCGGGAGCCGCGGGGTGCGCAGCGCCTTGTCCAGCATCTTCCTGTTCCACCGTTTGCCCTCGGCCTTGCGGCGGGCAGATCTAGCCAGTAGCAGCTAGGCGCACCTCGCCACCGAACACGATGTTGTGCTCGTCGGTCTTCCAACTTTTACCCGATATACATGGTCCAGCGCTTGTCCAGGGACGAGAGACGAGAGGCGTCGGGGGTCCGATGCCACGGGCGCTCCCCGAAGAGGGCAATCTTGCCGTCCTATGGCCGGCCATTCAACCTCTCGTAGGCTGCCCGGCCGTCCGCGCGCACGCGGCACATGCAAATGCACCAGCCGCAGTGCCGCGCAAGCCAGGGCACCAGCAGGTGACCAGTGTGGAGCTCGACCTTGGCCTCGCCCCCCAGGTGCAGCACCGTGGCCCCCGGCAGGTTCTTCACTTCCTTGTTCGTATTCTCTACGGCGCCCATGGACTCAGGGGAGTACCGGGGCTTCATATCCAAAACGGTTGGGGTCCGCACGCCCGATGCGGATCGCCAACGCCAGCGCCTTGATGGCGGGCTCGCCGTCGACCCTCAAAACTATGGCCCACCTACTCCAGTAGCCGAGGTACTCGATGACGCTGCGGATCGCGTGCTCGATGGGGCCCTTCTCGCCCGCCACCAGCGGCAGCACCGCCCCGAACTCCTGGTCGTAAACGTTCAAGATCGTCATCATATCGAACGGGGGGTCGGGCACGAACGTGTAGTCCATCACCGCAATGGGCTTCAAAGGAATCGTAACGGGTGCGCGCGTCCGATGATGGGGATCGTCAGAGGCCGCAGCTCGCTTTCAGTAGCTGCACCATGACCTAAACGGGATGCGGGGGTCAAGTAGTGCTCCTCCTTCTCGTGATCCGAAAAGGCCGAAAGGGACCTTCGCGGATCGGTGCGGCTTCGCCTCCTCAGAGGCGCCCAGGGGAGCAGGAACGCGTCGTAACGCCTCCTTTGGGGTCGCAGGAGGCGCACGGGGCCAGTCGCAGCGTCCGCCGCCGCGGGGCTTACCGCAGGCGCGGGCCGCACCTCCTCCGCAGTCGCGGGCTCATCCGCAGACGCGGGATCTCCTACCTCGATGGCCGCTGGGGCGCGCGCCGCACGGATGCCCCGGGCCTGCCGCCGGAGCCTCAGCCACGGCGCGTCCGACTGCATGACAAGGTCGACGCAGCCTCCACGAGCCGCATGGAGCATCTCACGCTCCGGAGCGATGACGACAGTCGCCCCTCCGCGTCGCAGGGCGGAGGCCGAGAGGGTCAGGCAGTTGACGTTCGTCACGTTCCACGTGATGGCCAGCTCCTCCCCGTTGTCCGGCGCGTAGGTGATGTTCTTGATGCCGTAGTTGATGATGGGCTCACTCGTGGCACTCACCCTGGGACGAAGATCCCTACGAGGAGGCAGCAGAGGAACATCCGGGGCATAGTCTACAGGGCACGCCACGACGCCCGACCCAGAGTCCAGCAGGGCGAGCTCGACACCACCATGACCAATCGCAGCAATCATGCCAGCAGGCTGTATCATGCGGGTCGTCAGTGGATCGTCCACGGCTCGTCCTGAGAGGAGCTGTACGTTGCGCTGTGGCCTTGGGGAATGCCTGCTGGCGGCGCGGGTAGAGGCGGCGGCACGGGGCCCAGACCTATGACGACGGCGCCTGGGGGGTGAATGGAATGCCCTGCGCTGGAGGCGCTTCCCCCTGAGCTGGGCACCACATGGGCTGGGCGATCGTCGGGTACGCCGCGTTCATGGGCATCGGCGCGCCCAGCGCGGGCAGGGCCAACAGTGTGCTGGCACCGCTGCTTCCTGCTGCCCCTGTCACTGCTCTTCCTGCTCCTGCTCCTGCTCCTGCTCCTGCTCCTGCTCCTGCTCCTGCTCCTCCTCGGGCCTCCTCTGTCACGCTGCGGGCTCCTGCTCCGGGTAGTGGCTTGCCGCTGGCGTCCACTCTGCTGGCCGTGATGTCGACCTTAAACTTCCTGCGTTCGTTCTTGAAGTGGTTGGGCTTCCCGCAGTAATGACACTCCCTGCCGGAGGCGGGGTTGAAGGTGTCCTTGGTCTTGGCTTTGCCCTTGGACTCCTGTCATTTCCCTTATGAGTCCTTCCCCTTGCCCTTGGAGGTCTTGCCCTTGCCGTCCTTCACGGCGCCGATCACCATGGGGTCGTCCACGTTCTGGGTCCACGTCCGCCTTGCCACGGCGAAGTTCATGATCTCCGCTCGTGTCCAACCTCGCGGCGTCGAGCTCGAGGTGATCCCGGACCTTCACGTTCAGCATCCCGCCGATGAGCACGGAGATCTTCACGTCCTGGTCCAAGACCTTGCTGCTCTGTTCCTCGTGGCGCCGCGCGTCCCTCTCGAAACTCTCGATCTCCACCGCCAGGTCGCTGCTGGGGTCCTTTCCGAACTCCCTCCGCAGGAGGGCGTGGAGGACCGCCCCGTGGCGAACTCGCACGTCGGGTTCGTACTCCCAGCAAAGGCGCCTCCAGGCCTCCGCGCCGTTGCCCTGCTCCACGTTGCCGATCAGGCGCTGGGCGTCGTCCGTGGTGAGCATCGCCAGCATGTAGTACAACTGGCGATTCAGGGTGAGCGTGCCCTCGTCCAGATCGCGAGCGTCCACGACCTGGCCGCCCATCGCCTCCGCACGGCGGAAAAGCTCCGCCATGTTGGCGTGCGCGGCGCAGGCGAACGCTTCGAAGACGAAGCGGAATTGCCTCCACGCCTCGCGCTGGCCCGAGAGGCTCGACGGCTTCCCGGGCGTCCGTGCGTCCACGGTCGCGCCGCCAAGGTGCTCCGCTAGCGCACGCTGCGGCGCTACGGGGGGCGCCGCCCGAAGCTGTCCGAACTCGGCCTGCGCTGCTTGCAGGCCCTGCTCCGCGGCCTGCCCGCGCTGCAGCTGCCGCTGGAGCTCCTGGGCCAGCTCCTGCTGCCTGGCCTCCATGGCCTGCAGCGGCTGGGCCAACTCTTCCGTCGTTGCGGCCAGCGCGACGCTTTAGAGCACCGAGGGAGCGCCCGCCGCGTTTGCTGGGCATGCGCTGCCGCAGACCGCGGGGTTGCCGCGGGTCGCGGGGCCTCACCAGGCGCGGGGCTAACCGCTGCCTGGTGGCCTTCCCAGGCGCGGGGCTGCCCGCTGCCTGGGTGGAGGCGCGGATTCAAACCGCCAGCTCTGCTACCATGCGCGAGTACGAAACCCGCGGGAGTGAGCGCAGATGGGAGGAAAGGCTGAGGGGCGCGCTTTTCCTCCACGCTCAGATGTTTGAGCCAAGCGGTTTCGGTATCGCAAGCGCTGGCACTGCTGAGACGGATACGGCGGGAACCGACTTGTGGTGTGAGCTATGTCCCAGATTGTGCCCGCATGCTGCTACACTACTATGCTATGCACAGACTTACATCAGGCTTGCTACCAACACTTTCCTAAGCTATGTAGTTCACCAAGAACCGATGGTTTGCTTGAGAATTCGCAAGAGCGCGAGAAAGCTGCAATTGAAAGTCCGCGTTGCGAAACCAGATGTTTTTACATGTTGTTTTGACACTCGATTTTGAAATCCTTCCGAAACCGAAGGTTTTGTTCGAGGATGTCGGCATGCGCACGCGACGTCGCGTGCGTGCACTTCGCCTCATGTGTTACAAGGGGTTCTCGACAACTTCTGATGATTGATACACGAGTGCGCGCGCATAACATCTGTTGCAGAGGATGGCGGGGGGGGGGGGGGGCGATCCCGGCTCGGCTGGGGTGGTGTGAATTCATATGTCGGATGGACGATGGGGCAACAACATCATATGCAAATTGCAACGCAGAAAAGTGCACCGATAAAGCCGGGAGGGGGGGGGATCCTAATTCTTTTTTAAAAAAGAGGATATACGTTGTGCAATCTATGTGGTGCAATTCACTTTGACCGTCTTGAAGCTGTCCTCTCCACTGCTCGTGCAAACATCCCACCCTCCCACCCGCAACTTGGTCGCAAGACCTCTGAAGACAAGACCGTGACGGTAGGCACCACATGCCACTTGGCCACGACACCGGCGCCAACGACGACAGCGACAACGACGACGACGGCGCCGCCGACACCGACTACGACGACACCGACGACGTCTCCAATGACTTCGACGACGACAACGACGACGACGACGACAACGACGACAAAGACGACAACGACGCCGACGACGACGACGATGACAACGCCGACGACGACGCCGACGACGACGACGACGCCGACGCCGACGACGAAGAGAACGACGACGACGACAACGACGCCGCCAACGAAGACGACGACGCCGACGACGAAGGAGGAGGGAGGACGACGACGACAATAACGACGACAACGATGAGGGGGGAGGGAGGACAGCGACGACGCGAACGACGAAGAAGGAGGGAGGACGGCGACGCCGACGACGACAACGACGAGGGAGGAGGGAAGACGACGACGACGACGACGACGGCGACGAAATAGGAGGGTCGACGACGAGACGCCGACGACGGACGACGACGTCGATGGAAGAGGAAACGACGACCACGGCGACAACAACGACGGAAACGACGACGACGCCAAGACGACGGCGACGAGGAAAGGCAGAGAACGACGACGCCGACGACGACGGAGGAGGGAGGACGGCGACGACAACGGCGACGACGCAAGAGCGCGCGCGCACGCTTTTGGTGAAAATCCGTGTTGCGAAACCTTGTGTTTTTGTATGTTTCTTGGACGCACGATTTTGACATCTTTCCGAAACCGAAGGTTTTTGAAGGATTTCGGCGTACGCGCGCGACGACGCGCGCGTCTGCACTTCGTCCCATTTCTTGCAGAAGATTCTCGCGACGTCACACGCGCAAGGGCGTTCGACAGATTTCGACATGCGCGCGCGACGCCCGTTTGGTAGCATGTTGTGAAAATATTGAAAAACCAATGGCTTTCTCAGCGTAAGCTTGTTTAGCAAAACAGTGTTGCGAAACCCTGTGGTTTTGCATGTTTTTGGGGAACTCGATTGCGAAATCCTTTCGACACCGAAGGTTTTTGAAGGATTGCGGCATGCGCTCGCGACGCCGCGCGCGTGCGCACTTCGTCATATTTTTGTTGCAAGGGATTCGCAAACAAGTGTTATGTTAGAACACAAAAAGTCACCGCATAGTTTTCTTAACAAGAGAACCTAAGGGGGGGATACCGGCGGGCCTGGGACACTGTGATTTCATATGTAGGATGGACATGTGGTCAGAATCATATGTGATTTACATACCCGAAAGGGGGACCGATAGGGGGGGGGAGAGTCTATTCTTGTTTTAGAAAGGAGAATGAATTTTGTTCGCAGTGAGTTGTCCACTCCACTGCTCGCGCAAACATCCCACCCACCCGCCCGCAACTTGGCTTGCAAAACCTCTTAAGACCGTGACGGTGGGTACCAAATGGCACTTGGCAGCGACCCCGACGCCGACGACGACAGCGACAACGACGAC